TTGACTCAGTTCCACAGACTGTACGGTAAGCATGGCTGGGAGGCCTCAGGAAAATTACAATCATGGCAGAAGGCAAAGAGGAAGCAGACATGTCTTACATGGTCAGAGCAGGAGGAAGAGAGCAAGGGGAAGGTGCTACACACTTTTAAACAACCAGATCCTGTGAGAACTCACTCACTATCACAAGAACAGCAAGGGGGATGTCCACCCCCATGATCCATCACCTCCCACCAGGTCCCTCCTCCAACCCTGGGGATTACAATTAGACATGAGATTTGGATGGGGACGTAAATCCAAACCATATCAAGATTAATAGTGAAATAAATGAACAAGGAATGATTTCGTTTTCTATAGGTCGGGCCTGGTAGTGACAAATTCTGCCACTTTTTGTTAATTTGGAATGTCTTAATTTTGACTTCATTTTTGAAAGACGGTGTTGATGGTTATAGAATTCCTAATTGATAGTCTTTTCCTTTCAGCATTCTGAATACGTCATTGCCCTACCTTCTGACCTTCATTTCTGATGAGAAGTCCATTATTTGTCTTATTAAGAATCCCTTTTATGTGGTGAGTCTTTTTTTTCTTTTTTGCTGTTTTCACGATTTTGACTGTGATATGTCTTGGTGTACATTGGCTTGAATTTGTCTCGCTTGGAGTTGACTGGGCTTCTTGGATGTGTAGATTAAATGTTTTTCATTAAACTTGAGTTTTCTCCAAATAGTGTTTTGCACTTTTTCTCTACTCTCCTTCTGGGATTCTATGATGCATATATTGGCACACTTGATGGAATCCTACAGGTTTCTGAAGCTCTGTTTATTTCTATTTATTCTTTTTTCTGTCTCTTGGTCAGAATAGATAATCTCAATGGACTTACTTTCAAACTGACTCATTCTTCTGCTAGCTAAAACCTGCTGTTTAGCCTCTCTAGTAAATTTTTCATTTCAGCGATTGTAATTTGGTGCCAGAATTTCCACCTGGTTCTTTTTTTGTATTTTTTGCCTCTTTACTGAAATTATTTATTTGATACAGGACATTGTAATATTTTTCTTTAATCCTTTAGACATGGTTTCCTTTGAACGTGTTTATAATAGCTTCATTCAGTCTTATTGAAAATCTTAGTTTAGTGATCCAATATATGGCCTTCTTTTTTTTTTTTTGAGGCGGAGTTTCACTCTTGTTACCCAGGCTGGAGTGCAATGGTGCGATCTCGGCTCACTGCAACCTCCGATATATGGCCTTCTTTATGAATAGTTTCTGTCAATGGCTTTTTTTTCCCTGCATATTAACTGTACTTTTTTGTTCCTTTCATGTCTCATAATTTTGGTTGAGAACTAGATATTTTAGGTAACATAATGTGACAGGTCTGAAAATCAGATGTATTCCCTTCCCAGGGCTTATTGTTGTTATTACTGTTTTTTTTAGTGACCTTCCTGGATTTACTTCTCTGAAGTCTGTATTCCTTGTAGTGTGTGACCACTGAAGTTTCTGTTCAGTAGCTTAGTTGGTCCGAGATTAGTTTAAATGCCTTGAACCAAACTGTGTGGTTGAGGCATGCTTTCCATACACAAGCAGTTTACTCCTCAGCCTTAGCTTTCCTTTTTCGCTCATGCAGAGCTTCTAGGTGAGCCAGAGGTGAGAGATGAGGCCCTTTCATTTTTTTCCTAGGCATGTGCATAGTTCTGGATGTGCATGTGGTTTTCTAGATCCCCAGGGATATGCCAAAACTTTTCAAAATTTGTTATGGACATCTCATTTCCTAAATCTTTCTTTAAAATTTTTGACCTCCTCTTTAGTGTGGAGGCTTTAGGGATGAGACTTTTTTAGATCCTCTAAATCCCACCTGGTAGCTGCAAGGCTGCCAGTTTTTGTAGTTACAGTAGAGCCAGGCAGTGACTGTTGGGAGTAGGTCAGATCACAAAGCCATAAACTGACCAACCTGGCAATATAGTAAGACCCCATCTCTAGAAAAAAAATGTTAAATTAAAAAAATTAGCCAAGCGTGGTGGCATGAGCCTGTAGTCTCAGCTACCAGGGAGGCTGAGATGGGAGCATTGATTGAGCCCAGGAGTTTGAGGCTAGAGTCAGCCATGATTGCACCACTGCCCTCCAGCCTGTGGGACAGAGTGAGAGCCTGTCTTTTAAAAAGTAAAACAAAATAAAGCCATACATTGCTACTTTATGGAGGTTCTGTACTTCTTAAGTAAACGGGTATTGTTGCATGCTTTTGGTTGATTTTTGGAGTTAAGACCAAGTTAATTTTAACAATTTTTGCCAGTGTTTTCATTACTTTTATGGAGGAACAGAGTTATGAAGGTTTTCACTCTGCCATTCTGGTCCCCTATTAGTTTACATTCAGCAGTGTTTACTTTTTTGATAGTCTAACAATACCACGGTAGACATTCTTGTACACATATCCTTTAAGCATCTGTCCGATTACTCTTAAACAAATTCCTCATGCTGGATCAATTAGATAACGCTTAAAATTTTTATATCCCAGGAAAGTAATAACAGTGTGATCCCTTCAATAACATGCTCATCTCCTTTCCAGAATTGGATTTGGTCATTTTTTTTTAATCTTTGCTGGCCTGATATGCAAAAGAATCATTTCTTGTTTGAATTATCATGTCCTTGATTACTAGTGAGAATATATATTTTTCCCAATATTTGCCACTATTTGCTCTTCTTTTGTTTATATTATAACTTTTCTCTATTCCTTCCTCCTCCCATCTCCCCCATCACAGTCCCCACGAAAAGCCTGAACTCTTTGGAAGGTTCAATCCCACTAATTGCCTTATAAGGCACTATATCTAACTGCCAATGAAAAACTATCTTAGACCAACCCAGAAATGCATGATGAAGTCATAAACAAAATGTCCCGGTGTAACAGATGCTACAGCTTCAGCATCAGGGCTGGTACTGCTTTGTACAATTGCTTGTGTGATTCCAGTGTCCTGGGGTGGCATGGATGACACTTATCCTAACAGGAATCAGTTTTTCTGCTTTATGATGCGCTCTAGAACCACTAATTATATCCATCAGCTATTTTGTTTTTTCTTTCTTACTCCAGACTGAGAGATGGTGGAGGGGAGTAAACCTGGCTTGTCTGAGGGGTACAGGATAGCCTGCAGGAGCCCTGCCCAGACCCTGAAGGCAACTTTTCAGGGGTCATCTTACCTGAGTCACCATGGGGACGATATACAGTAGGATCTTCTCTTACCCTGCTCATGGGAGACCCCATCAGAAGATCTTATTTCATGCAGGAGCAGGAGACCCAGGAGACTCAGGATCCTACTCTGGCTCTGCTCAGATTGTCCCATCCTAGAGGCGGGAGGATACCCTCAGGCAGCCCTTGCCTCTTACAGAATCAACACCGTCAACAGGAAGATGAGAGGTGTCCAGCCTAGCCACTTATGATTGGGTTACCAACGAACACCTAGACCCTGCGTGAATATTCAGAGGTTGGGGAAGTATACCGTCCTCAACTCTCCTCACTCCCTGCTACCCACATAGGATACCAATCCCCAGTTTGGTCTTGGGAGTCAAGCTGCCTGAGCTTGAATCCCACCTCCGCTTCCTACTGGCTTGTATGTGACTTTGGGCAAGTTATTTAATCTCTCTGTTCCTTGGTTTCCTCACCCGTAAAATGGGGACAATGCTATCACCTACCTCAGGGAGTTGTTGGGAGTGGTTCTAAGAGAGGTAACAGATACACAGTGCTTCCAACTGTGACTGGTAGACAGTAAGCACTCAAAAAATGTTAGCAATCAAAATGCTTTAGAGTTTAGCCACTGTTCCTAGCCCTGAGCTCTGCAGCCATTGTTCAACTCAACAGCAGGAAATCTGCTGGGACTGGAGCACACTGAGCACTGTGCAGGATGCCCACCATCCAGGGATGGGTGAGGATATGGGCTGATGGGACCCTGGAACTCTGCTCCTGCACTGTTTCCTGGGAAAATTTGTGCCTGCTCCCAAGTGCAATATACAGAGCCCCATGACTTGGATTCAGAAAGATCTGCCTTTAAGGGCCTGCTCCTTACAGACTCTCCAAGAGACCTTCATAAGGGTGAATTCCCGAAGCTCTGAGTGCCAATTTGTTCATTTTTAAAATGGAAATCTCAGTATGCACCACTTGCTGTGTTAGGGTGCCTGAGACCTGATAAACACCACTGTCACCACACTAAGGACTCATTTCAGGTCATAAAAAGTGACATTCTGCTCTTACCTTTTCTCTTATCATTAAAAGCCCCCTCCACCCCCACGACCCTATTTGGAATAAAGGACATACCAAAGTTTCTGCAAATTTGGTCTTATTTAAAGCCAAGCAGAGGTGGCTTTTATGTGATGTGACATAAAAACTCAGACTGAGCCCTGTTTTGCTTTCTCTTTCGGCTGCTGACTTGACCTAGATGCCTTCCTTTTCCTCACACCATGGGGAGCTCGGGTTGCCAGGTAAAATCAGCATAAGTCTAATGAGTTTCTCCCACTTACACTGTCTGCAGTGGCCTCGGCACCCTGAGCCAAGGGGCCAGTGATGCTGTGGGGCCGTGTTGACACATCCCTTCCCCTTGAGCAGCCCTGGGAGCTGGGATGCAGGAGAGGGAGTAAGTGAGCCAGTGCTCAGAGAACAGCCACCTACAAACCCGCGGGCCGGAACTCCCAAGGGCCGCACTTAGCCTCCACAAAGAACCAGACCCTCTTCCTCAGCGGATGAACCATTTCCAGAACGCAAAGCAGCCTCCGGGGAGGTCCAGATGCTGCGCCTCTGCCACTTCTCAGTGCTGAGCTGGTTTGGCAGGGAACGTGGCAGGCAGCAGTTGGCAGTCGCAAGGGGCAGAGGAGCATTCTGTGCCATTTTTACAGAGTCACATTTCTGACTTGATTGAAAGTAGAATCTTTAATAATATATAGGTTTTAAGTGACTGAGGCTCGCTTTTGCCAAATCCTAGCATAAAGCATATTTTTACAGCTGGGATGATAAATCCCTGAAAGACGGCACTTACCATGGAAACGCTGACACAGCCTTTCATTCCCTTCACAGTGATTAAAATCCTCATTTCAATTTGTTTTTCTTTATTTTGAGCTAGAGTCATTTGCAAGCCCAGAATACATCTCTCTGTGAAAGAAAACGAAATGCTGCCCTCTGTCAGAAATAAAATGGAACTGTTCTTAACTCTGCAGTGGGACGAGTCTTGCTTCAGAGAATCATGGGAACCTGGGAAACCAGGCTTTCTAGCCAGAGAAGAGACTCCTGCAGAATTTACCTTGTTCCCTAGGGAAAGTAAGACAGAGACGGGAAGGCAGGCAACCAACGGTGTGTTACCGAACCAGAGGCTACTGTGGGCACCTGGAGATTTAGCCTTTGAGGGATTCTGGGAGCCACTGTAGCCAGTGCACATCAGGGCCATCCTGCCTACAAGGTGGGAAGCTCGGGTGTGTTTGTTCGTCAGTTCCCACCAGTCATTGGTTTCAAGCTGCCATACATCAATTCTTATGCATTTCTGGCCTGCTGGTCATTGCAGGCTCCAAAGGCCAGAGGGAGCCCTCAGGCAAAGAGAGGCAGATTTGGCAGTTGGAGACCCAGCCCTTATGCTGGTGAGGCCCGAGTGCATACAGGGAGCCCTGATCTGTCTGCTGCACCCACTCTCCATTGTCCCTTTTATGGTCCTTTGGACTGTTTTATTTGCAAGTATATTTAATATGGTTTGGATGTTTGTCCTCCAAATCTCATGTTGAAATATAATCCCCAGCGTTGGAAGTGGGGCCTGGTGGGAGGTGTTGGGGTCATGGGGGTGGATCCCTCATCAATGGCTTTGTACCCTCCCCATTGTAATGAGTGAGTTCTCACTCTTAGTTCCATGGAGAGCTGGTTGTTTAAAGGAGACTGGCACCTCCTCCTCGCTCTCTTGCTCCCTCTCCCGCCCTGTGACATGCTGGCTTCCCTTCCCTTCTGCTATGACCAAAAGCTTCTTGACACCTCATCAGAAGCTAAGCAGATGTGGGCTCCTTGTTTCTTGTACTGCCTGCAGAACTGTGAGTCAAATAAACCTCTTTTCCTTATAAATTACCCAGCCTCAGATACTCCTTTATAGCAACCCAAAATGAACTAATACATTTCACTCCCTTGGAGTTCAAGGAATTCCCTCTGTTTATTCAAGTCTTATCATCTGTGCTGAACCAAAATCTCGTGTGCTTACTAACCAAATGCCCAAGAATGTCTTTCTACCTTTCCAAATCTTCTAATTGGAAAATCCTTAATTGACCTGGCCACGTGTCTTAATCTGCCAGTGAGATCTCAGCAGTGTTTCTAGTTTAATGGCTAATGTGGTCTCAAATTTCCCAACCTAACAAGGCTTCATTCAACTCTGTAGATCATATTAGAACTTGGCCTAATGGGACCTGAGCATTTCCCTGATTCTGCACATGGTCAGAGCTTGGCAACAGAGTTTTCCAAAGGGTTCCATGGATAATCAGCCTGAAGAGTTATCCCTCAGAATAGGGATTCAGAAACAAGTAAGCCTGGTAACATCACTAGGTATAGCCCCCTCTTAAAGATCACAAGACCTACCAGCATATTAAAGGCTCTGAGAAGTCCTGCAGTGAAGAAATCCAGTTAGCTTTGTTTAATGCCATGTTTCCCAACCTATTTCATCATTGGACTAGCTCTTCGCAAAACATCTATTATCATCCTGTAACATACCAGATTATAGTACACTTAAAAGGATTTGCCTTCTATTTGTTTTCCACCCTTATTTTAGTGAATTTTTGAACTATTTTTATTTTACAAAAAAAAAAAACCATTAGCCAGGCATGATGGCATGTGCCATCGCACCTGTCATCCCAGCTACTCAGGAGACTGAGGCAAGAGAATCCTTGAATCCGGGAGGCAGAGTTGCAGTGAGCCAAGATTGCGCCATTGCGCTCCAGCCTGGGCAACAGTGTGAGACTCTGTCTCAAAAAAAAAAGGAAAGAAAGACTGAAAAATATATATAAATAAGAAAAAAAGGAAGAAAAGGCACCAAGACATGATTACTATGAACATTCTGGGTTCCGGCAGAGCATGTGTCCACGTTGCAGCATTCCTCTGTGAGAAGCAGTTTTTATTATAAGAAAAATCAATCTCTCTTCCTCAGATTATGTTCAGTTTTATGACCCTTGATTGTAAGTAGCAGGTTTCATAAAAGAAAACACACATTCTAGCCAGCAAAGGCCAAAGAACCATTCTGAATTATTTCCAAAACCCCAGGTGGAGGAAAATTCCTCCACCATATGTTGTACCTTTTATAGGGAGTGGCAGGCCAGGAAAATAAACGAATTGGTAGGAAGAGGGAAAAAATGTGATTTTTCAACCATGAGAAAATATTTATTATAAAAAAAGGCAATAATGAAATACTCTCAAGAATTTGGAAGATTGTCTTTGGAAGATGAGTGCAAAGGTAAAATCAAAGCATAAAGATAAGCATTTTGTAAAGCATCCTCTCTCCCCGGACAAAGCCAGTTACAGTGGGAATTAAAGCAGAGTAGGGAACACTGTGTCTTGTGGGGGGTGGGAGCCTTGCCTGGAGGTGACACAGCCCCTGGGGTAGGGCCAGGTGCATCTGTCCCGAGAAGCACTGGGCTTGCCGCATGACCTCCAGATGCAGCAAGCATGTGTGGGGCCATGGGTGGCCCCAGGGGAAGCAGGAGGTACAGTTGGACAATGACGTCATGCAGCCCTAGGAGGGAGCACTGTAATTACCCCCTTCACAAATGCTCCCTGAAAGCCTGAGCATGTTTCTTCCATAGGGGCTTTGCCCTGGCTAGCTGTTCCCTCAGCCTGGGATGGCCTTTTAGGTCTGAGCTCAGAGACGGTCTGTGAGGAACCCAAGATCACACAGCACAGAGGCAGGGCTAACACCTGCCTGACTGCAAATCCTGCAGCCTCAACTTTGAGCTCTCACAGGGTTTTCCGATAGTTGTAGTTTCAGAAGGGAAGATTTCTGCCATAAACTTGGCACACGTGTGCTGTCTGAAGTCTTGGGGGAGCATCTGATGCATAACTCCAGATCTTCTTTTCAAGATAATGGCTTGTCTGAAAGGGCCAAGGACAATTCCAATTCTGTCTTCTAAGGGCTGGAAGACCATTCTGGGCGTACCTGCTCTGTGCACACAGTCACAAACCATAGCCCCCTTGCTGCCATCCCATCTCTCTTGCCCTCCTGAGGCAAGAGCCAGCCAATACTCCAGGCTCTGCGGAAACACTGGACAAGGCATGGACCCAGAGGAAGTCCCTTCAAGAAGAACCAGCTGCCCACTGATGATGGTCACTTAGTGCCAACCAGATACCATGCTGTCCTGCTGCCGGAGGGGGAACCTAGAGAGAAACAATGTCAACTTGTGTCTTGTGTCAGCTCCTCACAGCGATCTCCCTCATCCCCTATATAACGCAGCAGTCCCTGTCACTGTCAAACCTCTGGTCCATGTTTAGTTTTCTTCTTCGCATTTATCACTCTCTCATGTCAGGGTGTCTCTCTCTCCTTCGTGAGAGACAGGGACATGAACCACCTGTTCACCTGGATTCCCCAGACCCCAGAACACTGCCTGGCACCAACACATGCTCAATAAATGTCTGTTGGTTGAACATCTGCCTGTCCTTACAAGTACAATGGGTACATATCAGAGCGTCAGGAGTCCAGGTAAGGGCTGGTTGGTGATTCAGTCAGTTTGACTCCAGTTAGAACCTTGACTCCTTCTTTAGTCATTGTAGTAGGCATTGGCAGTCAGGGCAGCAGTCGATGACACTTAGGGACTTGGGCTCTGGCCCCCTTCTCCTCTGTGACCTCCAGCATATCCCTTCCTCTCTACCCATCAGCTTCCTCAATTAGAAAAACAAATGAGATGCACTCTAAATATCTTAGGGTAGCTTTCTATCTCCAAGGTAAACACTGAAAGAAAAGTGGTTGATTAGGAAAGAAAACCAGTAGGGGAGTGGGAGGGTGGGCGTGACCAGCTAAGAGGAGGCCACACAAAGGTGCGGTGTCAGGTAAAATGCCCTGGAGTCTTCCCCTTGGCTTCATCTTGCAGGGAACCCTAGGGACAGTGCAGGTCACACCCCAGAGTATCTTGGTCAAGGTGAGGTATCGGAGCATGTATACCCTGCATTGTCATGCTTGGTCAAGGGCATACCTAGAGGGCTGTAAATTCCAGGCATTTCTAGCTCTCAATGAGCACAGGCAGAGTGGACTCCAGAAAGCTTCAGGCAGCCCTCAGAGAGACACACAGATGCTGCCTGTTGGGGTGGGGATGGTAAAGGGAACAGCGGCAATTTGGGTGGAGTGTTGACATGGTCTCTTAAGATGGTCCTTTCCCACATAGTACTCAACAGTCTCTAGAAATCTGAGTTTTGACAAAGGACTTACCAGCTGTGCCAGCTCGTGCATGTTACCGAATCTCTTAAGCCTCAACATCCTCAGCTGTGAAACTAGGACTAATGACATCTCCTCTACTTGCACTCTTACTAGTTAAAGATGCCCCTGATTCACTACAGATGGTTGTGCAAATGGCTAATGAGGCTACCATGATCATTCTCCATTAGTTCTCAAAACAATTTTAAGGGATCGTGAGGCTTGTTCTTCATATTAGTGCATTGCTATGTGCTAATACATAACCCCTCAAATTTCAGTGCCTTTACACAGTAAAGGAATATATTTTTACTCATGTAACAGTACAAAGAGATGTTTCTAGGTTGTTCTTGTGGAAGGGAACAAAGTAGATGGGGATATTAGTTCAACCAAGTCATTCAGAGACCCAGGCTGAGAGAATTTCTGCCGCCTTCATGATGTTGCTTCCAAGGTCACCCAAGGTCATCCTGGGCATTGACCTTGAGCAGACAGATGGGAAATAAAGGGTTCATCCATGGAAGGCTTTCATGGGGATGCTCCTCCTGTTCCATTGGCTAGAAGTCAGTCACATGACCACATCCAACTGCAAGGGAGGCTGGGAAATGCAGTCTAGCCATGGACCCCAGAAGAGAAGGAGAAATGTTCAGTGGTGGGCAACCAGGCTTTGCATTTTATAGCTGTCACTTCTGCATTTTATAACTGTCATCGTGGAGACATGAAACTAC